ACACGACAACACATGCCACCCAAGAATCACGTGAACCTTACACAAAGGTCACAACTCCATAATCACGTCACGGCCACCACGAGGACCGCTGCAATACCTTGGTGACTAGTGTCCCATACCACTAATCGTGTAATCCAGGTAAAGCCACACACACATCACACCTCAACAGGAATCAATCAACGGATCACAACGAAGATATGAAACCGTACTCAATCAAGGAATGGGTCACAGCCCAACAACAACAATGATGAATAACACAAGTTATCATCAACCAATAGGAAGGTACGAACAACACACACGCTAGCATTTAAACACCGAACTAGCATGCTTATTAAACGGGTAAACCAAACGTAGTTCCGAAGAACACACAAGACCCATCACGGTTCAACAAAACACAATGTTGAACACTTAGCACGATTCAAGACACAAAAACCTACATGGATTCCTACCATATAGTTCTAGACATACGAAACATCAAGAAGACGCTCAAATAGTTCCACAAAAGAACATCGGGAAGTCAAAAGACCAAATACCGAGTCAAAAGAATCACGGAGAACAAATCCCCGCCATCACCACAATACGTACCCGCAGGTAGGCCCACGGGTAGGCCTCTACCCGCGGTCCCGCCCGCGGGTACAGGCTGCCCAACCTGTGTACCTCGCGGGTGGGCGGCGGGTTGGACCCCTACCCACCGTTCCGCCCGCGGGTACACCCATGTACCACAACAAAACACTTCGCGGATTTTCATCTCCAAACTCAAATTCAAGTCCAAAACATGCCAAATCTCACCAAATACAACAAAATGACTTGAATCAAAGGAAATGCCAACCAATGGCACAAAAACACAAGCTCTAGATATGCATTTTCACAAGATCATGCATCAACACTCACATTTCATAGCAAAACACATGTAGAATCCAAGAAATCACATATAGGTAAGCAAAATAGGTTTTGTAGAGCATGGGTTACCTCTTGTAGACTAAAGACTTCACTTTACACCTCAACAAGCTTCTCTCAAGGCTCACCTTCCAAACCCACTTCAAGAACATACCAAAAAATCATAAAGATCCTATCTTTAAGAAAATACACCTTAGATAAAACCAAAAACACAAGATGAACTTAGATCTTACCCTCCTAGATGCCCAAATATATGAAGGTTGAATCTTGGAAGCAACTCTTGAAGTTTTGGCAAAGCTTCAACTTGGCTTGGAAGAAAAGCTACTCACCTTTTAGAGAGAAGGTGGAGCTAGATTTTTAGAAAAGTGTAAGGAGAGAATGAAGGTGGTCTACTAGGTTAGGTTACAATACCAAAAACAAGTGAAAGGTCAAGAATACCCTTACTAACATAAGGAAGTGTAAGGAACAAGTGAACTCCTTAAAAGCTCAATGTACAACTTTGACTTTGGGGTTGACTAGTCAATTACTAGTCCCCAACTATTAAATTTCAGGAATTTAAGGAATTAAATTACAAATTGAAATAGGATTAATTACTTAATTAATCCCTTAATTGAATTTGGATTTCGGGGTGTCACACAATCTCTACATTTTTTAGTAAGAGATAAAGAAGGGGACGACTAAGGGGCTGATAGGGGACGACCAAGAGGCTGACTCGGATTAATTTGTGAATTAATCTAAAATGCTACTAAAGCCATTCTGGGAATAAAGATTAAATCAAGAAATATTAACTAATGAGTTAATATGGCGTAATGGTGAAAGCTTGGGAGATATATGTCATTGGGCTTGTGTTCAAATTTCATTAGAAGTATATTTTTTGAAAAATGACACTTGTTAGGTGCATGCTACAATGTGGACACATGGAATGCTAAGTTGACTACAAGTTTGGAAGCTTGTGGACATGATAAAGAAGATGCACGTGAATTCTTCTACACATCTTCTTTCTCATTTAAATCTCTTGCTATGCATCTCAAATCATTTCAGAAGAAGAAATGGACGAAGATATAATTTTTACTCAAGCAAGAATCAGCAGCAAATCTTTTGGAAGATTTCATCATTTTGAATCCGTCAAGATAAGGAAATTATTTTTCGGAGAAGTTTCAGCTGATGAGCCGACATTTATGACTTTTGAAGATTTGTCAGGTGAGGATTTTCAAACTCACTGTAAGAAGCCCATCTCTTGCATAAAATCACCGCAATGCAAGTTGACAATAATGTGTAGCTGATCAAGATGAACAATCAAGATCAAGTGAAGCTACAACGGTAATATAGCTTCTTCAGCTATATATACCAGATGACTTGAAGACATGAAGCAGAGAAGGCAAGGCAATACAAAGAAGCAAAAATTCGAAATATCCAGTTTTGAGCTTTCACGAGATATTCTTCAAGTCCTTAGAAGAGAAATTTGTTTTCTCTAAATCTTACCTCTATTGTGTGTAGAAAGAAGGTTGAGTGTAGCTTTGTGCAAGACACTACCCCGTTGAGTGTAGCTTTGTGCGAGACACTTGTGGTTGCTGAGTGTAGCTGTGTGCGAGACGCTCGGTGGGCTAAGTGTAGTTGTGTGCAAGACACTTAGTTGGTGTAGGAGTATAGCTTTGTGCAAGATACTCGGGAGTATAGCTTTGTGCGAGATACTCGGGATTGAGTGTAGCTGTGTGCAAAACACTCGAGAAGTGCCTGTGTGCACTTGATTCACTATTTGTATCTGGGTGAACGAGATAGTGAATTTCCTCCTTGGAGTGAAAGGAGAAGAATGGACTAGGAGGATTACACCACCTCTGAACCACTATAAATTGTCTCTCTCTCATTTACTTACTGCTTTTATTTATTATTGCATGCATACTAACCCATTTACTATTCGTCATATTCATTTATCTTATTCATTGGATTATGTGACTTTACAAGTGCATGCAGACACAATTCCTTTTGGATTCATTCATTGATTCACACGTGATATCACATACATATTGTGTGAACCATCTCTTTAAATATTTTGTTGTCTTGCATGTTGAATATTTGACTAACCCATCTTATATTGTGCAAAATTATTCATCTGGGTCTAGTAGCTTTCACGTATGCATGTGGTCATAAATTTGCATACTTATTATTTGAGCCATACCAAGTATATCCATCATATTGCTTTTGATATATCTCTTTGATTTTACGTAACACTTGGTTGTTTAAATTATTCCGCTGCGCATCTAAATTTCATATCTTGTTATTTAGAGTTGAAATTACCAAAGTGTTATTAATTGTGAAAAAATTTAAAAAGTCTATTCACCCCCCTCTAGACTTTTTACCAGGCCCGGTCCTATCATTCTTTAGGCCCTATACGAAAATGGACCCTATACGAAATTAATATATACTTATTTTGAGAACAAGAATTTAATTCATTAAATCATCAGACAAACAATGAACAAGGAAATTAATATATACTTATATAATTAAAATTTAAATTAAATAAGGAAGCAATACTAATGTCAAATAACTTAAATAAGATTCACAAGTTTTTAATAATTTTATATACACATGAAAACAATTATAGATGCATTCCTAAATCCACAATAATTAATCACCCTATCAGTATTTTCATAAATAAATAATATAGTTTATAAATATGAATATGTAATTTAAAACCAAATGAGCTTATAGACAATCACATTATTATTATAATAAATAATAAAGTAATTATTAATAAAAATTTATATTAAAAAAAACTTACAAATAAGATCATTGCATAAAATCTTAATTAATATTGGGAACAATAAATCAAAACACTCAAACGGGATAAAAGATATTCATAATAAAATATGAAACATAATTAATTGGATAAAATAGTTCGAATAAAAAACATGTAATAAATCACACATCTTATATATTGATATCATATTTATAAATACTCTTTTTTATTTAGATCACTTTCAAGTTTTTCTAGATTAATTTGAATACGATGACGCACAATAAAACTTCTAACCTACATTGATTAGATAATTCATACAAAAATTAAATTATCTTTTAAAATATTTTTCATAAGTAGAAATATATTACATATACATAACTCATTATAAAGTTCACAAAACAACAAATATTCTAAATATAAGTAGTAAATTACTCGAATAGAAATAGATTCAAAATTTGATATGTATTACAAATTAATCTATACTATAAATCTCACTATAATTATAGAAAGGTAACAAAATCACAAAGTTACAATTTAAATTTAGAAAAATACAAATTAGAAATAAAAATAAATAAATTATAGGAAAATGTTATGTAAAATGATATATAAGGGAATTTGATCCCTTACCATGAGTATAAAAACCACAAGTCTTACCAACTCAACCAACTCAAATTTTAGTGTAAAAATATTCTTTAATTCATATACTAAATAGTAGAGGGCGAAATTTTATGTAAAATTACACATGGAGATTCGATCATACGATTAAAATGCTAAGCCTTACCAACTCAGCCAACTCAGAAACCATTACTATGAATGTATACTAAATAATTATGACATTTCTAATAGTATATATTAGGGTAATAGAATAGGGTAGGGGCCCCTTCCAAGCATGGGGCCCTGGGCAAGGGCCCAGCCTGCCCTTGCCCAAGGCCGGGCCTGCTTTTTACCACCCTATCGGAACCAACAGGGCAGCTGCTCCCACTGCCCCCATGCTAGATCCGCCTCTGGTGAAAATGTAATTATGATATATAACCAAATATATAATAGATGATTGTACTTTTAATTTAAAAAATAATTACTTAAAATTCTCCCGTTTTCTAAAACAAAAAAAAAATATTTTAAAAACTGTGCTACTAAATTTTTTTCAATTTTCTATTCTTCAATTCTCTAATTTTCAAAAAATTAATTTTTTTTTCCAATTAGTGAACGAGTAACTTCACTAGTTTTCTAAAACGAAAGGGACGAGGACAAAAAAGGAATAAATGGCAAAAAAAAGTGGACATTTGAGAAAAGAAAACAAAAGAAAAGAGCAGAAAATAATTTGCCTTATTCAAACTTAAAACCCATTGTTTAAAACTCTCCATTTCCTTTTCCTCTCTCCTCACCGTCACATTCCCACTCTCTAGAAAAAAGCAAAGGCCTTCATCTACAACCTTCTCTCCCCTCAATTCGATTTGCTTGATTGCTGTTTTGCCAAGGCAATCGCGTAAACCCTAAACGCCGCAGCTTGGAGGAAACCGGTCCTGAAATGGGGCAGCAGAAGGCGTTAATCTATGCGTTCGTGGCCCGTGGGAACGTTATACTGGCGGAACACACCGACTTCAGCGGCAACTTCAACTCCATAGCCTTTCAGTGCCTCCAGAAGCTTCCAGCCTCCAACAACAAGTTCACCTACAACTGCGATGGCCACACCTTCAACTACCTCGTCGATAACGGCTTCAGTAAGTATCCCCTTTTTATTTCGTAATTTACTGTAAATGGAGTATTTTAAATATTTATTTATCTTGGCAAAATGAAGGGGATATGAGTTTATCGTGCTCCCCTACTTATTTGATGTTACTATTGGAGTGCATTTGTTAGATGCGTTTTAGCCTAATAGTTGAGGTTGTTGAAAGAAAGATATTGATTTAGTTAATATGGTAAAAAATGAGCTAACTGCACAATTGAGGTTTGTTTATTTGTCCTGAATTTGATGCATTTGGGGCTTTAAGAGTTCACTAGTGAGATTGTATAGGAAGCTGGCGATGCACTGTGAAGTATCCAGCTATTCAGCCTTCTGTTTTAGATGGAAAAGAAAGTTGAATGTTTTTTTTTTTTTTTTTTTTTTTTTTTTTTTTTTGAATACTTCTTACTTGTCCTTTGTTATAATAATAAATTATTATTATTATTGATGTTGTTGTTGTTGTTGTTGTTATTGGTACCATGATCCTGGTCCCATATTCAGGTAGTCACATTGGGTTTTGACTAATCTAGTTGAGTTGCTATAAATCATGTCTTTTGGCAACATGCATTATAATTATGTGCACATACTTGAGCATGTAAATAAATTCATTTTGAACAATAAATCCTTTGACAACTAGCTTTAATTAAGTACAGTAATTGCCTTATTTTCAAATGGGGACTCTCTAGGAATTTAAGATGAAATTATCTAAATTATAATTACCATGCAGAAATATATGTTTTAAGATGAATGTTTGATGCATTATAATTATATTAATCAGTATCTGAAGTTGTGTATTTGTTTCTCGTGTAAGCGGATTTCTGGAAATAGGGAGAGACTATTAAATGTATTGGCAAGAGCAGTGTGTGATATACATTACCATAGAATAATATAAGCTTGGTTGTCATATCCTATTGTCTATCGGAACATGCAAATTCATGTGCAGCTATATTCCTTTATGAATGAGTTTGCATGTTAACATTCTCAAATGATTAGTTGGTGGAAGTTATGACTTTTAATATTTCGTTTCAACTGCCTGTTTTGCCTCATGATGATTTAATGGTTGTCTCAATTCCTACAAATGGTACTGGAAAGATCTATTTTTCCTATTGGGTAGTTTTTCTATCTAGTGCTTGAAGATCTTCTGCATCTGAATATTTTGTCCTCAAAGCTAAGGCAACTATAAAAGAAACGATTGGGTATCTGATATTTGTATACTGGAGTTCTTCATTAATTCTTTTGGTTCATCATTAAGTGGTCTCCTTCCTGTCCTATATTCATTGAATACATGTAGGATTACTGATTTGTAGTTTTGCAGCTTATTGCGTTGTTGCTGAAGAATCCGCTGGAAGACAGGTCCCTATGGCATTTCTGGAGCGTATTAAGGATGATTTTGTAGCAAAATATGGTGGTGGAAAGGCTGCAACTGCTCCTGCTAATAGCTTTAACAAGGAATTTGGGTACTCAATTTTAAATTTAATCAGGAATTATGTGGGAGATTTTCTATTATCTCATCTTATTGGATTGAACTGTTTTTGTAGGGCTAAATTGAGGGAGCATATGCAATATTGTGTTGACCATCCTGAGGAGATAAGCAAAATTGCAAAAGTTAAAGCACAAGTTTCTGAAGTCAAAGGTGTCATGATGGACAATATTGAGAAGGTATACAAATGTTTGTTAGTTTTTTTTTTTTTTCTTTTGACTAAATTGTGGTTATATTTGATATCTCTATTATCTTGGACTCTTAGTGGCTTTAATTCTGCGAAAAGAAATATAAAAAAATAAAAAATTAACATTTCAAGCACTATAGTTTAAGTGATTGTCAATAGACAAACTCTAGTTAATTAATTATTTGAAGCATTCAATTGTTTGAACCACATGTCCGTTACGGGAGGGGCTATATGTGCACCGTTTTGATAATTGAGGGGCAACATTTACACCACTCATAATTCAGGGGTGACATTGATAATTGACATATTATAGAGGGGCATTTTTTACAATTTTTCCTTTAATTAATGCATTGTTCCTATTGTTTGGATAATATGATTTTTTCAAATAAAAAACAAAAGATCCAGGATGGGAGCATTGCTTGTAGTATTAATTATTAACTCTTTTTTATTTTTTGTTTTTTTGCTTTTTTTTTTTTATTTTTTTATTTTTATTTTAGTTGAACAGAGTATTAATTATTAACTAGTATTGAGCATTTATACTTATCTCAACGCAAGCATCATATTGAATACATATTAATCAAGCATTATGCATAATTCATATTCTCTAAAAACAACAAATTCAAAGCATTAATTAATTAAGGATTAATTGAAAATAAAAAACAATTGAATGCTTCAAATAATTAATTAATTTGTTTAATTGTTTTTTCTTAAAACCCCATTGACTAAATTAATTAATTATACACTAATTAAATATATAAAATATTTATTAATTCAGATTTACTTTTAGATTAAAAAATGGATGAAATGATCTTGCTTAGTGTCCAGAGAGAGGACATGTGTGAGAAAGTGTGGTATAAGAGGAAGAGTTGAGAGTTGAGAGTTGAGACTGCACTTTTTTGTCGGTTTTCTTCCCCCATTGTTGGTTTCTTCTCTGTACCCCACCCACCCAAAAAATAAAGAGAAATAAGTGATTTGGCAGAAGAAGAAAAACATACTTGTGATTCATAGGCTTGAGAGATCAGTGAAGGATGAGGCAATTTGACGGAATTGCAAAAATTTTTGGCTGCCAAAAAGTTTAGTAGGTTTTGGAGTTTGACCAGAGGCAATTCTCAAGGTCAATTGTGTCGTAGCAGCCAAGATAAAGTGTTTTGAACCTTCAATTTCATCTTGTTGACTGTGTTGACCTTGCTTAGTAATCAAAAGCGCTCTTTGGAGTGAAGCGATTACTTTGGTCTGCTTTCATATATTTCAGCGCTTCGCCACTTCCCTGAAGCAAGGCACAAGTACCTGCTCTGTTGCTTAAGCAGCAGAGTGATTGCGTTTGACAAAAATGAAGTTCTTGCATTTGGCAAAATTTTTTGGGTGAGAATGCTCATAGCATTTTATGCAGAATGCGAATGAGCAATTTATTGCCAAGCCAACCTTCTCTATAAGTTTCATGTACCTTTTGTGCAGTTCATTTATGCAGATTTTAGAATACTTACCAGAATTACATGTATCTCTCTCAGGCCAAGGATGATATATAATCTCACATCTTTTATCTACGAAAACTAAATTGTTGACTCCAATTAGAAGTTAGTTCAGGGCATTTTTTGAAATTAAGGGCATTATAATCCAAATATTTGACCACAACTAAACTGAGAGTACATATTAGTGGAGTTGAGTATTAGAGTGTGAAGATTTAATGAGTAGAGGAGGACAGGAGGTTCTGATTTGAGGAACAGGGAATACAAAATATGGAACACTGAATAAAAATAAAATAATGGAAATGAAGCAAATTGAACTGAAAGTCCAATGCTTCATCTTTTCTGTAGAGGTACCAGAGAATATAAACTTGTCTGTGTTCATGCTTTCACCCTAAATCTTCTGAATCATGCTGATGACATAAGCGCAGACTTTTTTGAGATGGGATGGGGTTGTAGAGATAGAACCAATTGTGTTATTTCTTCTCTTTTCTCATGTACATAAGCTAGTAAATGAGTTGTAATGAGGTGTAGTATTCTTCAGCGTTCCTACGCTGTTGTGTTTAACCAAGTGCTCCTGGCATGTAAATTCAAACTGATACATACTATTTTGTACCCTGGAAACTGATCACTGGCTACTTTGAAAAGGGTTCTCTTCAAATCTTGAAATACTGGAATGTTGTTTCATCTCCTATCATCCTATGTTCTGCTTTGATGGTTGATTTGGTCCCTATGCTTATAAATTTACCATTTTGAACTCATCACTGGCTACTTTGAAAAGGGTTCTCTTCAAATCTTGAAATACTGGAATGTTGTTTCATCTCCTATCATCCTATGTTCTGCTTTGATGGTTGATTTGGTCCCTATGCTTATAAATTTACCATTTTGAACAAAGTTTATCTAAATGTCTGTCAATTGCCCAGATCCAGATGGACCAATTCAACAGTGCCATAATATAAGTACGATGTAGCTGATGGTTTACTAGAAATGACCCATTCATATACATTAATTCATTCATGTCATCTCAAGAAGTAAAGAGCAGAATAAAAAAAGTGAATCAATGAAATTAGAGCTTGATTGGTTCTCAAATGACATTTCATCCAATCTTGAAATCCAAGAAAATCATATATTTCTTGATATGTTATTCAAGATCTGTTGCTTAGCACTTGGTTGCAATAATAGTTAAGCTGTTTCTTTTAAAGTTTGCTTGGGGAAATTTCATATTTTCAAGTGTAATATTCTACAATTTTTTCGAGTTCTGTACTAGTTCACACTTCACTAATAATAAGTTATTGATAGAGATATTATCAAGTTGGAGAGCTTGGTGATACCCTATTTGATAGTCTCTATGAATAACCTGTGAGGGCCCACTGTTTGGTGATATGCTGTATAATTGATATATGTATTTTCATTTGTTTGCCTTTGATCTGTTGAGTTGAAGAAACCTCAAGCAAACCTATATACTTATTTATGTTTCCTGATACAGGTTCTAGATCGTGGAGAAAAGATAGAGCTTCTTGTCGACAAGACTGAAAATCTTCATCAGCAGGTATGACTTTTTCTTACTCTTTTTGCTTCTACACTTATGGTAGTATATCACTAGGTTTGAGAGTATAGATCTGCAATCCTTGGGCTCTTAACAAATTGAAAACAGCTCTGTTGCCTTCGTTCCTATGAACTTTATGTTGCCCAAATTACTCACCGGTGATGTAATTCTAGATATTTCTCGAGTAATGAATGGGATACATAAGTATACATCTTATCGACAAAGTAATAACAGTATTGTTAGCAAGCTTGACTGCAGAGTTTCAAATACTAATACCCAAGCTTCGCTGTTTCATACCTTCACTCCCTTATTCCACATCAAACTCCAATCCCACTGGCCTAACCTCAGAACATGAGCATGGGTTTAGAGAGGTTCTCATAGTTTTTGCTTTTGAACTCCTCAAACTATATGGTTATTACTCTGTTGGCATATATATATACCAGAATAAGCTAAAATGCAGGTCCAGATCAGGTACCAATTTTAATAGTTCGTTTTTTGGAACAGGCACAAGACTTCAGGAGCACTGGCACTAAAATCCGGAGAAAGATGTGGCTGCAAAACATGAAGGTGAAGTTGATAGTGTTGGGTATCATCATAGCCTTGATCCTCATCATAGTACTCTCTGTTTGTCATGGCTTCAACTGCGGAAAGTGATGGTTTTCTATTCTATATATCTGTAGAAGGCACACAATATTCTGTCTTAGTGTTTTTGTCTCTGGAAACACGATCTTAAAAAGAAAGATACTTGCACTGTGTATGTATTAAGGGTGCGGAATTTCTTTATTTTGGTGCAATAGAAACCATTCTCTTTCTTGCATCTCCATAGTTATCCGCTGCCAGTTTTTCTATGATTCGGCAGTTCTAATAGAACGTCTGTTCAGGTCAAGTTAGAATGTTGGATAGTATATCAACCAGTTTTGTCATTTTTAGTCTTTGGATGTTTCCAATTCTGGCAGTTTTACTATCATTTTCAAATCTTAACTGCTTGCGTTACACAGTTATTTAGGGCCTAAGGACTCTAATATCGGATTTTGTTTCAGTTTGTTTTTTTATTGGAATAAGGGTCAAATAGGCCATTGAACTATGCACAATAATGTAATTAGGTTACTGAACATGCAATTTATATCCTACATCACAGCGCGCGTTGCACTATGCGTCCAGATGCAAAACGACGTCGTTTTAATTTTTTTTTTTTTTTTTTTTTTGAAATTTCCCGCCCCCAGTGTATGGCAGTTAATTTTTCTTTAAAAAAAAACTCATGTTCAAAAATGTACATAATGTTATACTAGAATACACATAATTGTATACATGAATGTACATAATTATATAGCAAAATATACATTCTCTTTTTAAAAGATAATACACATAATCTAACATAATACATAATAAATATAAACTTTTAACATAATACACATCAATTCTTAACATAATACACACAAATTTTCTGATTCGGATGTACATAATTGTATAAAAAAATGTACATAATTGTATAAGAAATGTACATAACTGTATGAACAAATATACATAATTGTATGAACAAATATACATAATTGTATGAATAAATATACATAATCACAGCAACTTTCTACCGCGCCTCCCAAAACGACGTCGTTTTGGGAGGCGTGCGGCACACAGTGCTACGCGCGTCGTGGTGTAGGGTATAACGATTGTACCGAACATAAAAAAAATAACAATTAGACCACTAAATTAACCAATTTTATTCAATTAGTTTAATTTATAGATTTTAGAGGTTAGTAACAGGTCACCCAAAAAATTTAAAATATTTTTAAAAACATTATTATTTAAAAATAATAAATTAAAAAAAAAAACGTTTCTTCGTCTCTGCTGGAGATGAAACTCTTCGTCCCTGCTGGAGATGAAACTCTTCGTCCCCATGGCCAGAGACGAAGAGACTCTTCGTCTCCATGGTTTCTCTTCGTCTTTGGCCGGGGACGAAGAGTTTCTTCGTCTCTGCCGGAGACGTTTAAAGTTTTGTTTTGTTTTTGTTTTTTTTTTTTGTTTTTTTTTTTTTTAATTTTAAATTATTTTATTTTTAAATAATAATTAAAAATACATATTTTAAAATTTGGGTGATCTGTTACTAACTTGTAAATTGGTCTAATTGTATGAAATTGGTTAGTTTAGGGACCCAATTGTTGTTTTTTTTAGGTTCAGTGGCCTAATTGCATCATTGTGTGCAATTCGATGACCTATTTGACCTTTATTATTTTTTATTCTAATTCATATTCGAACCAAGTTTTTTTTTTTTTTTTCTTCTAAAAAAGGTGTGGAATACACTTGGAGACTCCCAAACTATAGAACTAGATTGAGTGTAAGTTGCCTTTGCCAAAGCATGGGTAAGATGGTTCGTTAATCTACCAATGGAGCTAACTGAATAGGAACTAGTAGAACTAATGAGAGTTGTGCAATCGTTAAGAACAATGCCGCATATGAAAGAGCACCGGTATTCCCTGTGAGGGCCGGAGCTACGATCGAACAATTCGTTTTCACTTGGAGCCCTTTGTTTGTTGAAATTCGTGATAATTTGCTAAGAGTATGATTACTTAAGAATCATCTAAGTGTTACTTAAATCGTAAAGTAACAAACTCGGTTAAGTGCTTAACGCTTCCTAATCAAACAATCACTGAATTAGTTCTAGAACTATTACAATATAACAGTTTGCGTAATTAACAAGGAGGTAACCAACTGAAAGCAGTAAAGAAGACATAATATTTGGTAACCCAGTTCAGAGTATGCATACTCCTACATCTGTGGGGCATCACAAGGAAAAGATTGTCCAATTCACCATTAACTTTAGAAAAGAGATTCACCGAATCAACATGAAGAGCACGAAAAACTCAATTCAAAACACTAATGACTTAGCTAGGTTGATGAGTTCGTTTATTGGTGAACTGGCTTGTGATCTCCCGATCTCAATACAAACCACAATGGTGCACAATGGTGTAAGCATATAAATCACGTAGGAACATAAATACGTGATACAGAGGACTGCTGCGGCAGAGTACTAAGTACTAACCTCCAGCCATAGCTTCCGATTGATGATGATTGAGTAGTCACAGGACTGCTGCGGCAGAGTAACAGTATATGTTTCTCTCACTTTCTCAACCCTCTCTGGATGGTGTATGAGGAATGAATGTTAAGCAGTGAGAGGACTAGATGACTCTTTATATAATAACCATATGCCATCAATATGGTAACTGAATCCCTTCCTAATCACACTCCTTATCTTTTACAATCAATCATTACCTTAATTGATAGGAGTATGTATGGAAGAATTGCACCACATAACAGATTACCTTAATTATTATAAGGTTGACCTAATATTATAATAATGTAATCTGGGAAAACTTTACAAATGGTACACAGGTTCACATGTTAGCAGAGGTTCTCATTTGAATATATATATATATATATATATATATATATATATATATATATATATATATATATATATATATATATATATGAGAGAGAGAGAGAGAGAGAGAGAAGGGTTCAAGTGCAGGTATAGCTTCCCGTGCGGTTGTGTGGTTGACGTACCTTAAACATTAAAATGGCGCACCTTAAGTACATAAACCACGCACCTTAAACACACAAACAAAGCACCTTAAACACACAAACAAAGCACCTTAAGCACACAACAAAGCAGCTTAAGAACAAAAACCACGCACCTAAGGTTTTAAAATGGCTCACCTTAAGTTTCACACAACAGACGCATCTTAAGCATACAAATCACGCACCTTAAGAAGGAAAACCATGCACCTCAAGTTTCAACAGCTATTCACATTAAGCACGAAACTCACACACCTTAAGCACAAAAGCCACACACCTTAAGCACAAAAATCATGCACCTTAAGAAGAAAAACCACGCACCTTAAGTTTCAACAACTACTCACATTAAGCACACAACCCACACACCTTAAGCACAAACCCATGCATCTTAAGCACAAAACCACGCACCTTAAGCACAAAAATTATGCACCTTAAGAAGGAAAATCACGCACCTTAAATTTGACCTATATGCAAAAATTACCAAATTGCGACCGCGTTTTTTTTTTTTTTTTTTTTTTTTTTTTTTTTTTTTAAATTTTGATAATCCTGGACGTTGATTTAAGCAAGATCAATGGCTCAGATTTAACTGCACAATCGCACGGGAATTGAATTCTCTCTCTCTCTCTCTATATATATATATATATATATATATATATATATATATATATATATATATATATATATATATATATATATATATATATATATATATATATATACTACCTCCGTCTCATTTTATGTGTCTAGTTTGTTTATCGAGGCTTGACTGAAGTTATTTTTAATCTAATTTTTCATAATATTAAGTATAGTATTAATTAGTATGCAAAATTTATATATTTAGAAACTATACTAAAAGTACTATTAAATACAAAAAATTAAATTTAAAAATAAGTAAAAAATACTAAAGAAAATAAACAAAGAAGAAAGAGTTGGTTTGACCAATGAATAGTAAGTAGGACAGATAAAATGGGACAGAGGGAGTATATATATATATATATATATATATATATATATATATATATATATATATATATATGTATATAAAATTCAATTCCCGTGCGGTTGTGCGGTTATATCTGAGCTATTGATCTTGCCTAAATCAATGTCTAGGATTAATAATGATTAAAAAAAAAAATGCTGTGGCAATTTGATCTTTTTGCATCTAGGTCAAATATAAGGTGCGTGATTTTCCTTCTTAAGGTGCGTGGTTTTTGTGCTAAAGGTGCGTGGCTTTTGTACTGTGTGGCTTAAGGTGCGTCTATTGTTGAAAACTTAAGTGCATCGATCTAAAGCTTTAGGTGCGCAGTTTTCCTTCTTAAGGTGCATCATTTGTGTTCTTAAGGTGCGTCAGTTGTTGAACTTAACGTGCGTCGGCCTAAAGCTTTAGGTGCACGGTTTTCCTTCTTAAGGTGCATTATTTTCCTTCTTAAGGTGCGCCATTTTAAAACTTTAGGTGCGTTGTTTGTGTTTTTAAGGTGCTTTGTTTGTGTGCTTAAGGTACGTGATTTGTGTACATAATGTGCGTCATTTTAATGCTTAAGGTGTGTCTTTTTGTGTTAACTGCACAATCGCACGGGAAATTATCTTTGCACCTTATCAACACACACACGCGCGCGCGCGCACACACACTAGCAATTCTACTTCCTTTGATCTCTATTCTTATTGCTTTTCACGGGAGAGGAGGTTAAGGCTGCCTTATTTGCCACGCATCCTAATAAACCGTCAGGGCCATATGGTATGATCCCTGGTTTCTTTCAGTAGTACTGGGGCATAGTAGGTAAAGATGTAACAAGTTTTGTTCTGAATTGTCTTAACACGCTGACCTTCCCTTCAGGGTTGAATGACGCTTTCATTACATTGGTGCCGAAGAAAACTATCCCTTAGACGGCTGGGGACCTCCGACCCATTACCTTGTGTAACATGGTCTATAAGGTAAGGGCAAAAATGATTGCGAATAGGATGAAAGCGTTGATTGGAGATATAATTTCAGAGAACCAAAGCACTTTCATCCAGGGAGACTCATCATTGACAATATTTTTATTGTCGTCGAAGCTGGACATTTCTTTAAAAGAAAGACTCAAGGTCATACTGGCTTGGCGGCTCTCAAGATTTACACGGCCAAGGCGTATGACCATATGTAGTGGACTTACTTGAGATATATGCTAGCTTTGCTTGGGTTTGCTCAACAGTGGATTATATTGATCTTGTTCTTTTATGTGTTAATATTGTTAGGTATAGGTTAAACATCAATGGTGCGCTAACTGAACCTATTATCCCCTCCCGTGAGTTGAGACAAGGCGATCCTCTCTGACCATACCTATTCATACTCTGTGTTGAAGGTCTCTCACTTTTATTACAC